GCAGCACAGTCTTCTGGTGTGTCAGCCACTCCCCCCACTTTAGTATCATCAGCAAACTTGCTGAGAGTGCACTCTGTGCCTTCATCCAGGTCATCGATGAATACGTTGAACAAGACTGGACCCAGGACTGACCCCTGGGGGACACCTCTAGCTACAGGCCTCCAACTAGACTCCGCACCACTGACCACAACCCTCTGAGCTCTGCCATCCAGCCAGTTCTCAATCCACCTCACCGTCCACTCATCCAGCCCACACTTCCTGAGTTTACCTACAAGGATGTGATGGGAGACAGTGTTAAAAGCCTTGCTGAATCTGGCCTTCAAAACTGTCAAGCTTCCCAGGAAGTGCACAGGTCCTGGGAGAGTCCTTGAGCTTTTGTGAAATATATGAAGAGGCACTGCCTCTGTATATGGACAAATTGCCTATATATTTTTCTCATAAATCTTCTCCATTCCGTTGCAGTTTTCCATTAGGACTGCCACACAGTTTTGGTTCTTTGTTGCCTTATTTGCCTGTAGGCAATTTACAGTGCTGCAACAGAAGTAAGATTTTTGTTGATAGCCATCATTGTAAAACCAAGTCCAAACATTTGTGCAGGTGGCCCATAAAAAAATGAATGGGTTACTCTGCAAAGGGATGGCTGGGAAAGTTGGAGCCTTGAAGCAAATATTGTTTAGACAAATACATGTAAAAGAAAGGATTTATTTTCTGTCATGGGGACAAGGTAATGAGTAGGGAGGAAGAGGAGAAAACAGGCTACTGCAATTCTGATATCTCTGCTGTATGGTGTTGAAGGGAGTAAAATGTCATAGCTTTGCTGTGAAAGGTAAAGAGGGTTTGGTACATCAGGGTGTACTTTAGGATGACTCGGAGAACCACACGTCCTTGGGGAGCCCATGTTTCGGTGGAAGGCAGAGTCAAAAATATGATAATACTTCATATCGAGGGCAATGATATGGCCTTGTTTCTTTGTAGAACCTAAGACTCAATGGCATTTCCATATTTTGTTCACTGATCCTTCCCAGATTTCCCTAAACACTTTGAAAAGAGCATATGAGATTATTTAATCTCTAGATATAATCTTTAGAGCACTATTCTACCCCCTCCTTGCAGATTTACAATTATTATATTTTTATATAAGGAAAACATAACAATTTTTTCCTCTCCGTGGCCATCGTTAAACTGTGGTGGCATGTGTTTGCTCAGATACTCTCCTTCATTCTGATTGTATGTTTATTGATTTCCCCCCCTACACTTTGCCAACAGACTGATCCATGCCTGACCCCCTCTCACATTACCAAAAAAGCTGCAGGAGTGATTCCACAGACTTAACAACACTCTGCATGAAAATAGCAAGATTATTCTGGGGTTGTGTCCTGTTTCATTTTCTCAGCTGCTTAATGAGCCTGTGTTGTTTCACAAGGTGCCACTTATTTTCTCAAGCCAGTAAAGCATATCATATTTATATTGCACTTTTAAATAACAGGCAAAACTGGTAAGATGAAAAGATTATCCCAGTTTATTCATTGCATGCTGTGTCATTCTTTGAATGAAATGTGTAATATCTAGCCTTTGTCAGACACATATAATGATTTTGTCTTTGAAGCAGTTCTTTCATGTATACATTAGTTCTTTTTCTTCTTGTTTAGATGACAGCCGACATCTTGTATGTGTCAACATTAAATAAGATTATTCATTTCCCTAATTTTGACAAAAGTATACCTGTGAAGGTAAGGATTACTTAGGTCTTCATATTAATAAGAAAATTTTAACCCTTATGATGGTGTTCTTTCTGCGAGCCTTCAAAAATGTTTTCTAATGGAGATAGGATATAAAAGAAAAACAGAAAATAATTTTGAGCTTGTTTATCAAATGTGATTGTCTGTATCTTTGTTTCATTTCCATATTGGATTGAATCATTTTAATTTCACTGTAATATTCTTGCCTTTTGTCTGCAGAGAAATCCAGTGTTATTCGCTTATGTAGTACATGGGAAAAGATGCTTTAAAGACTGTATTTTCAGATAGCAGGATGAACTTTTTCAGATGGCTGAAGTATTGTTCTGCATGTGTACAGCTCCCTGTGGGGTTGATGTGAGATTTGTGTTTAAGAGAGAATTTTGGTCTGATATGTAGGATGAAGAGAGAAGTGCTGCTTAGAAATTTGAATGGGACTTGTGAAAAAGCAATAGAAAAAGAATATATCATTGACCAAAATCCCAAGCAGCACTTGAATCCAAAGGTTCAGCTCCATAGAAGGGGCTAAAATGATATCCACTGGAAACACTGTAGGTAGGGGCTAGCTGTGTTTTATAGTCAGAAACATGTATACTATGTGAATATTACTGTATGCAAGAACATCCAAACCAAAATCAGGATTCTAGTATGTTAGATGCTTTGTATTGCATATAGGAAGAAACAACCCTTGTTGCTAAGCGTGTACGGTCTAAATAGGCAGGACTGAGAGAGTACAAGAGAGGATCTTTTAGTTTCTCAGACTGGGGACAGGTCTGAATTGACTGCAGCACTGATCCTGCATGTAAGTAGATTTTTGCATCCCTGTGCAATGTTGCTGAAGCTTTGCTGTGGTGCATAAGCCTGCATATGTATATCTTGTTGCAGGATATTGGCCAGTGTTTTGCTCCAGGATATGGAGGGAGTTAGTTCCCAGCTCTGCTGCAGAGCTCAGGTCTCTCAGCATTTCAGGCCAGAATCTTCACTGCAGAATCTTTTTTTTACTATCAGTATGAGTTTTACTATGAGCAAGTCACAACCTAGGTGGCCTGATTTGGAATTATACCTCTTCCAGGCATACTAATATATGTGGAGTACCCAGAGAAGCATAGCATATGTGCAGCTTATTCATTCTTTTATTCTTCCTGTTCTCTTCCTTATTTTATTACTGTTATTAATATTACTTTTCACTCTAAATCCAAACATTAGAAAGGGTATTAATCTGAGAGTTATTGTAATTAAAATAAAATGTGTATAATTTATTCTAAATAGACCCTGTGTCTCATTAGAGGTAAATCACTGTTTTTCCACTGAAATCAGTGAAGCTAGGGTCATAAATGGCCCCATGAACAAGGGCTGCAGATCAGTTTGCAGCATAGTTATTTTTTAATCTTTTAAACACCCCCCCCTTCTTGCTAAAAGTACATCTTATATTACAGATATCAAATAAATTTTCTCAGTAGTGCTTCAAAACATAGATCTAATCTGAGTTGTGCTTTTAATTTTATCACAGTTGTTTCCTCTGCCTCTGATTTATGTTGGAAAACACATAAGTGGATTATCAAATACCAGCAGACTTGGGTACAGTAAATGGAAGTTATAAGTAGACTGTTTGGCTTTCACCTTTTTGGGGGGAGGGAGAGTACAAAATAAACACTAAAAAGAAGCATTGCATAGGGACTTAAATGCATATTCATTTCAATGGATGATGTCTAAACCCCTGATGCTATGAAACTCTTACCCAGATATTTGATCTGAGCATGGCCTGTACTGAGAGAAAATCAACATTCTGCAACAATGGAAGCGCTTTCCATTTTTTTCGACTTCTTTTCCCCTCTTATCCAAGTGCCCCACTTTTCCTGGGTGACCTAACCAGAGGGATGAAAGCTGTAAGAAAGACTCTTTTTTTTTTATTTTGGGAGAAGAATATGTAAAAGATTCATGCTGTGATATTGGCACAAGTTATTGAGGACAGTCCGAGTGATGGAAGAAGTCCTGCATAGTAGGGTGGTGGCAGTGACATAGCCCTACCTGGCGCAAAGAGACTGCTGATGGGCTCGTGGGCTCCTCCCTGAAAGCTACTCTCACACTGTAAATGTGCTGTAAATGTACACATTTTGTAGAGGACCTGCTATAATTGATTGAATGACCAAATTCTCCATGGAAGAGGAGTACAGAAGCATGACAGCTGTAGTAGTATCTGAGGTTACAGCAATACCGTTGGGCCAATTTCTTATGCATTATTACAGGCTCCTAAGGATTTGATAGTAAACTAAATCAAAACTGGGAATTGTGTAGGTTTTCAATACTTCATAACTTTGAGAGACTGGAAGAGAAAATACGTTGCTTTTTATCTAACAAATGAATTTTCTCTGACTAGCAACATGAGGCACCTGGTTCTGCATATCTTTGTCTTACACATTCACAAATCACTGCACTGAAATGACTTTTTAAGCAGATAAAAGGAGTTCAGCAGTAGTGTTCCAAATAGCATTTTAGCCAATATGAATATGGAAATATTTTTCAATCCCATAAAAGTATAATTTATGGGTTCTTCTTAATTTATGGATTCTTTTCCCCCCTCTCCCCTAACTGTAATTTTAAAATAAAAAATTAGGTTATTTTAAATATAAATGCTGAATCTCCTCCTACAGCTGATATAATTGTTTTAGATTTACTATTCATAACTGATTTTCATAACAAAAAATAAGAATGGCTGCAGGGTTTATAGCATTTAACATTTTGTTACATTATGTGATGACTGTTTACATTATGGAATTTTCCACCTTGTTTGAAGTGTCTACAAGCTGTAGATTATCTCTGTGTTAGTTCAAAATGTCAATTTGTTGTAAGATAATTAAATTCAGTGTTATGATTTATATCATATATTAATGCAGTTACTAATAGTTATCTTAAAACATAGGATTAATTTTTCCAGCTGGCCATGCTGTCAGATTTCCAAAGTATCAGATGCAAGTGTTTTCTCAAATTAATCCAAAAGGTTTCCAACTACATCACTTTGTGCAGACCAACAATATGTTGTTCAAACGTAGCCATTTGTTTGATCATTGCGGTTGGTCTCACCTTTCATGTTTTTAGTACGTTCTTTATTTTCTTCTTGTGGATTTATTTTACGTTTTCTAAAGTACAACTTGTTTGCTAAGTGTATTTGCTTTGTATTTTATTTATTTTATTTGTTTTCAGAGACAGGTTTATTGCTTGTCCTTTAAGTTTATAATAGAGATCCTCATTACTTACTCTGCCCAGGATTTCTGCAGAAAGAATTATTTCACTGGGGCTGTGATAGGCAGAAAATAGCCTTTGTATTCCCTTTTTCTGATATAAAGGGACTTTTTAGGAGGTAGCCAGTTATGGTTGTTTTAAAAACTGGTTATCTAATTTGCCTCTAGTGTCAGACTGACGTTTTTATGTATGGTAAGAGGTTGGGAATTTTTTTTGGTTGCTTATTGCTAGACTAATGGTTTCATTCTCTGCTTAGTAAAATTAGATAAGAATTAGAACATACAAATGCTATTAATCTGATCCTGTGCTTGGAGGGGTTTTTTTGTTTTTATTTGTTTGAGGTTTGTTTTTTTTTGATAGTTTGCCGATGTTTACAGCGCTCAGGAAGTTTACCATTCCACTTATATTACTGCTGGAAATCATCATACTTGGGTGATCTTTTTTTCCATTTTAAGATACCTTTATTTTAGATCATATCAAATTGTGTACTTGTGGCATCTCATCAGGTTATTGGATGACTGACTTTTACTGTCAAATAGAGAGAAGCAAAGAAAGTGGTTTTATATAGCTTTTTCTTGAAGGCACAGATGCATGTACTTTAGCAAATACAGGAAAAAAAATTCTGCTCGCTCTCATTTACACAAATCAGTCTCTTGACTGTTGCACAGGAATAAGGTAAGCAGAACATGACTCTGATGGTTGTTTTTTAGGGGTTGTGGTTTGCTGTTTTAAGTCTTGGAGGCCCCTGTGCTGCAAACTGGTTCAAGCAGCCAGATCCTTATGTCTCAAACCAATAATGATAGTATGGCAGTCTGCTTATGCAGAGCAGCTTTCTGGGTTAAGTCTTAACACATGCCAGTTTAATGAAGCAAAATGGTATCTAACAGCATGCTTAGGTTTCTTCAGAAAACTCTTTAATTATAAATACATCAGTTTATTTTTTATGAGAAATTAAAATGTTAAAATATTGCAAATTGGGATCATTAGTTTCAGTTGTACTTAAAACTTTGTTACCAGCATAGTTCTATCCAGATGGCTTGTGCTTGAATAAAAATAGGTCACAAGGGGAAAAATAGCTTGCTGAAGCTGAACCCAAGCAAGATGAGAGCGATGGTCAGAGAAAAGGCTTTCTGAAATGCTCCCAATTAGATTGCCATCTCCTTTTGCTTGAAGCAGCAAATGGTCAATTTGATTCATGTTTCGTGGTGCTCCTGGATTCTTTGCCGAGTATAAATTCTCATAGAGAAAGTAGAAGTTGCCATCTCCTCCTGTTGGCCTGAGGACACCCTAGCGAGGGAGGAAAATGTCTCTTAGTGAGGCTGCTGGACTGCAGCAACATGGTGTATGAGTGCAGGCAACCTCCTAACCTAAGGGAGGTTTAAGAGCAGGATGCTGTGCTCATGCAGAATGCCGCAGTATATTTCCTCAGAGCTGGAAACGAGAGGACACTGGAGAGTCTATACTGGCTTACCTCAGGATTTCAAAAACAGTCACGGTTTGGGTTGTTACCTTCAAGGTTCATTATGATCAGAGCCTAACATGTTTGAAGACTGCATACAGCTTTGTTGTTGAGACAGTGGTCCACAGCTGTCCTCCTTTGACACACAGGATTTCTCCAAGAACAGTAAACAGTTGTTTTTGATGGATTTTTTTTCTCTCAGACCAGCCCAGAGCTATTGAATAAACTTGTTAAGAAACTAGGGGAATGCCTGTGTGGACCATTGCAGTATGGTATACAAATACTTATGACATTTCTAAATAAAGCAGTGTAGGTATAAGAAGCAGTATAGTTTTAAGATATGCTTTGCTCTACTTTGCAGCAGGGCTAATGTAGACATACTGAAGAGCATCATAAGTGTCAATGCTTTCCAACCCAAGTGCAGGGTTTCAATTTGACTTCAAAATAAGTATATATTTTAGAAACACCCCAGATGCTGTGCTATATAGCATCTTCCTCAGGAAAGGATGAGATGACCAACTACCCAAGAGATGTGTAGTGGTTTTCCTTTACTGAATTACTGGAATACACTGAAATGTGTCTGTTATGAGTACTAATATAGGGTAGATGACAATTTGTCCCAGCACTCATACTTTAAACCTTTAATCTTCATTCTGAAAATTATCTCGTAGCAGAATGTTTGTGATGCTTTATCAACCTCTGTTGAGGGCCAAAGTCTGACAGTGTGACAGAGACAGAACTTCCCTTAGTCAATAATGTCACTTCTGTAAGGCTATCAAGGCTGTGTCCTTCCATTAAATGTTCTGTGATTACTGATTGCATTGAAACTTTTTAAGCAGACCGCCATTTAATCTTTTCTTTTAATAACAAAAATGTGAACTGTCCAATTTTTGTATACAGGAAACAATATCCACTAAGTATTATAGTCAGTGTATTTGCCATCATTCTCGGGGCCTTCATAGCAGCTGGGTAAGGCTTTCATTTGTTTATACTAAGTATGATGACAGGAGGGTTTTTTTCCTTGCTAAGGGCCAAGTGGCCCTAAATTGAGTTCAATTACTCTGGGTGAAGTTGATTTGGAAAAATCTCTCTACTGACATCACTGGGAGATGCAGGTACACAAAGGGAAAAATCAAACTCCAGCTGAAAATATTTTGGGGCTTCTTTTTTTCTCCCTAGACATTCCATGTTTGCAGAGATATAAATAAAGCAAGTTAAAACTGTGAGAACTACTGCTTTCCTTTCATAGTATCAGTATATTTTAATAATCTTAGAAAAATATATTCTTGTTCTGGGTAGAAAGAGTGATCTTTTAGTTGTCAGATACTGCTTTGAGTTAGGCAATGTCTACTTTATAACTTTGAACAAGTTCAAATATGAGATAAGTTCACAAAATACTCATCTGTTAGTCTCTTCTGTTTTTTCTATTTGAGAATTCCTTTACTTAAATGGAAATGTAATGTTATTTTTATATTTTTGGCTTTGCTATGTACAAAGGTAAATAATTTCCATGTGATGTGACTTGGATAGAGTCACTTCCTATTAAATAAATTACCCTATGTCCATGAGGTAACTAGTCAAAACAGAAAAGATGACAATATGTCTGGTCTGACTATGAAAAAAAGTAGTTAGATTTTTATTCCCTAGTTACTTTTTGTGTTAAAAGAAATAAATATATTCAGTAATAATTTGACAAGTTGTCAGGATTGAGACAGATATGAAATTTTTCACCAAATGAGAATCAAACATTTCTTGTCACTGTACTGAGTTCTGGGAACTCTCTGATGACTTGTGATTTTGACATGATTGGAGAAATGTGAAGTATCTTGACATACAAAGAAGACTTCAGGCAAAGCCTGTAACTTGCTGGATTTCTCAGGATATGCTTTTCCTCATCTATGATACTTCTGTAGGTAAACAAGGTAGTGCAATGTACTGTATACTGTTTATTTACAGTATATTATTTATTTTCAAGGTCTGATCTAGCTTTTAATCTGGAGGGCTACACCTTTGTATTGCTAAATGATATCTTCACAGCAGCAAATGGTTGTTATACAAAGCAGAAAATTGATCCAAAGGTAACTGTGGGGTGATTGGGTTGAATTTAGCATTATGAAAATATGGTAACAACGGTTACCTATTTTATGACTTTAAGAATGTACTGCTATGACCTAACAAATAGTTTAATTTATTTTCATATTTCACTTGATATATGCATCATTAATATGGAACAGTCTGGGGAAAACTTCTTATGAGTATCTCAGGCTAGGCTTAGCTAACAGTGTATTTTGCTTTCTCCTGAGTCTTTTAGGCAGAGTTTATAGTGGCTTTAAATTGTTGCTTTTGTTTAAAAAATATATCTCCAAAACAAAAGCAAATTATTTACCTCTAAGCATGACATATATCTGAGAAATACAACTTTTTGACCAGAAATACTTTAACTTGTGAGGTTTATGTAAAATAAACTCCAGGGGAGGAATGGTGACCTCTCCAGTTTGAGTCAACAAGTATTAATACTATTGCAACCACAACAACTGATACCTTTGTTGGCTATCTAAAAGCAAATCTACACCATACACTGGTATGCCAAAGAAATAGATGTTACCTTGATCCATTATAATTTAAATAAATGTTGAACAGGCTGCTCTTCAAATACAGTGCCAAGAAAACATAGCAAGCCGTTGCAAAGAGCAGTCTTGGATTGAGGTTTTTGTCACTGACTTTAGAGGGTCAGTCTGTACAGTAAAAATATAGATCTTTTAATAATCTCAAGTCACACTGAATTCAGACTCTGTATTTTGTTTTATGAGCAATACTTAATGGCCCTATAAGTTTCTGGAAAATACAGGTTTTCATTTTAAAGGAAAAGCTAAGCCCCAGAGATTTGCTAAGTAGCATGGCTGAATCTGGAGAAAGGGAAGGCTGCGTTTGCATTCCCCTAATCCTCTTCTGCCTTTGCATCAAGCAACTGGGTGTAGAGTCCTTCAAACTGCTCAAAGTGGCATCAGTTACTGGTGATACCAGATGCTCCATTTAGGAGCTGGGCTGCATTCATTTTCCTGTTACAGTGGTCCCAGGGAGCATCTCCCTGCTCTCCCCCTGGCTTTTGGGGTGGATATGAGGTATCTGGAACAGGTAATCCCTTGGCCAGGCTATGCTGCAGTCTAAAACAAAGCAGTTCTGGACTTGTGCCTTGGGAAGTTTCTGACTAGCTGGTGTTGTATAGAAATTTTTGAAAGTATAGCAGAGCAGTAATAATTTGCTGAGCATGCAGACAGAGTGACTGAAATGGAAGCTCAGCTCAGTATTAAACACTGAACCCAATTGTTGCAAGCTTGTCTTTTAAATTATAGTGCATTATGTTTTGCCTGCTCATTGACAAGAATGTCAGAAGGATTGCCAGAGCAGTGTTTAGTTTGTTGCTCTCGGAT